ATAACTTATTGATCGGCATATCGATTATTTCATTCCACATATCAAGTTTGGTTGGTTAGTTGGGTTAACCTAACCTAAACATAACTAACCGAATGAAATAATCGATATAATCTGTAGCTTATAGGCTATTGATATTTCCATTTGAATGAGATTAAAGATTGAGACTAAGGGCCCTTTCACACGAGGCCACTGGTGGCCGCCACCGGTAGCCGCCACTGGTTGCCCGCAACAGCTTTAACATTATTTTAAATGGGACCTTTCACACACAGCCACTGTAGTTGCCCGCCACTACAGAGTGGCCGAGCAGTGTCTCCTCGCGCAACTGCTAGTCGGCAACCGCCGGCAACTGCAGTGGCGGCAACTCGTCGCGGGGCATTGAATTAAATGGGAGCTTTCACACGTAGCAACCAGTGGCCGCCACCGTGGATGAGCGCGCAGCTCCTATTTTGAATCAGTTCACGTGCAGACTGCAAAGACAAACGCACTATGGTAGTTGTTGAGTGTTTTCGTGTTGACTTGTTTGTTTGTGAAAATTAGTGATTAGAAGAAAAATAAAGAGGACGTTGCTGAAAAAGAAAAAGACAAAAGAAAACAACAGAATAAGAGAATAAACAAAATAATAGAAGACAAAGTGGATACTGAAGATCTAATTTGGGAAATTGAAAAGTAACCGGCAATTTGGTATAGTACGCCTGTGTCTTTGCCTTATTTTCTTTATTATCAACGCAAGAAGAAGGAGATGTTCATTGTACAACAGCATTTTCACAACTACCATTGTACAGTGGCTGTAGTAAAGTGGCTTGTAAGTTGCCTGTATCATCCACTGCAGTTTCCCGGCCGGTAACTGGTGTGGCCTCGTGTGAAAGGGCCCTAAAGTGCAGCCGGCCACTAATTTTAAAAACATATGCCAAGGCCTAGGACCTAGGATAGGCCTAGGCATATCTACAAATTAATTTGATGCCTTAATGTAATTAACTATACCTCTAGCCTAGGCCTCTAAGTTACAGGCCAAGCTTAACTTACCTACCTTAAGAACTTTATGGTAAACTAAGGCCTTAAGTTAGTGAAAATTATTAGGCTACATTTCTAGAATAATCTGAAATATAAAGAAGATAAACACCACTTCAGGCTAAATAACTTTGGAAAGTTCAAGTATTACTTTGTACTCATTCTATGTTTGTTTGTGTGGATACCTAACCTAGGCCTAGTAGTACCTTGATTTGGAAAAATTATGGTCCATTCGCTTACTGACAACTGGATTGTCTTATTTTGTAACAGTCATAACATTTACTCCGATTTCTTTAGACTGATATCTAAAGAATAATATCTGAGAATAGAATCATAGATGAGATTTGTCTATAAAAGAAGTCTGCGCTTGGTTAAGTCTCGTGGTCTCATTCATAATTTCCAAATGCAGTAAACGAGTAAACACAGTTTCAATCATAGAGTAAGTAAAATAATTTATAGATCTAATGTAACGCCAGAAAAATTTAAAAAAACCGACTATGATAAAATAAAAGTTGAAATCACAGCAACTAAATCAATGGAATTACTAACTTAAAAAAAAAAACAATGTAAACACTAAACAAAAATATTTTGGTAATTTCATGGCAGACGACGGCTGATTTAGCACTAGTGATTTTGATTTTGCTAGTCAAATGAAACACTAAAGAACCGAAAAAAACATGTCAAATAACAAACTTTATTGAGTTAAGTTAAATCGGAAACATTCACAAAATTTATTCGAATATAGTTTATTAAGAACTACACAAAAAAATATATCCGTGGTACAAGAATCAGATTTTTTAATGCTGTAATAAAAAAGCCTTTTATTAACAAAAAAATAACATGGATTTTTTTAAAAGTCGATACTGAGTCCTCAACTTCGTTTCGTCCAATAATTTGACATTTAATTTAACAAAAAAATGTTATATTTAAGACCGGAAGGGGGTTCCTGACCCCCCACTGGTGTAATGACATATTTAAAACTCATTAACATCGTAGAATGGGTTTTTTACAAGCCAGTCAAAAACAGTTTTACTGAAACTTGCTTGTCTAGCTGTTTGTCCTTTAAGAGTTAGTTTATTAAACAGCCTAAAGCGGCCCACACACTGGGGCACATGTGACGTGCGAACAGCTCGAGGCTCATGGGCCCCTATGTGTGGGTAAATGTGCACATGCTCGCGATGCACATGCGAGGTGCCTTGTGTCTGCCAATTTTATTCTATAGTGACTTTGCTAGCTACGTTAAAAATAGTCCTTAGGCCTACTAAAAATACAAAATGAAAAACAAATTGTTGAAAAATAACAAGGTCACGATACAATTGTGTTTATTATAATGATATCAATAAAACTGTTGTGTTTGATGCTCACTATTTGCTTCGTCAAGATAGTGGTGCGTGCGCATGGGTCTCTGGTGTGTGGTCACCATGCAAGTTGCACATGTGCCTCAAGCCGCTCGCTTCCTCAATAAATATTTGGTGACTTGTCCTGGTAAAGTGGTAATGGACCTGATTTGATAGCGTAAGATTTTTATAATTATGTTTCACATAGACTAGACAAATAAAAATAGGCCTATACATATTTACAACAGTGGGTATTTTAAGTTGTTTAAACAGAGGTCTATAGTGCTCTGGGGAAACTGAGTTTGACAAGATCCTAACAGTTTTTTTTGAACCTGTAACAAATCCTGAACTTTAGAGCTATTACCCCAATACAATAAACCATAAAGCAACAAGCTTTGAAAGAAAGCAAAATAACATGAACAAAGATATTTACATGGAAGCTTACTTTCAGGCATCTTAACATGTTAACCACCCTTGATAGTTTTGAACAGGTTTTTACAACATGATCAACCCATCCTAACTTTGGGTCCAGATAAAACCCTAGAAGTTTAACGGAGTTTTAAGGGTGTTTAAATCTAAAGAAAAAGTAATTGTCTGTGTTTTATTTACATTAAGAAGAGATTTGTTAGCAGCATACCACTCAGGTGCTTCTTTTAAAATTACAGTATTCATTTGGTTAGACAAGACTTCATGATTTTTTCCTGATGCAAAAAAAATTGCATCATCCACAAACTTGATTGTATTTGGAGATATGTTTTTGGACAAGTCATTCACCATTATTAAAACAGAAATGGTCCCAAGACCGACCCCTGTGGCACTCCATACATCACCTCGGGTTTGGTATCAGCAGACTTTGTGTCTCCTATGTACCTTTGTACGTCTTCTACGTAACTGGTAACTTTTCTGGGCTCTCGAACCCTAAAAAAACACTTTGGTCCTGATCTTTAGGTTTATTGGCTACTTGTCTAGATCTCCAACCCTGGAACTTAGAAACAAACATTTCTAGGCCAAAAGTCTGCATTGAACACCTTGTCTAAGAGGGTTGACGACAATCCTACTTTAAACAAAGGGTATTCTTTTGGATACTTTCATGGTAGCTTTTCTACAACAAAACTGTTTATTACTAGATGTTTGATTTTTTAGAAAATCAGTCAGGTCACTATATCTTGTGTTGAGGGTCTAAGTCTAGATACCAATAAGAAAACTTTCTTATCCACTATATTGAGGTTATGGTTGGCTTACATATTTCCCGTGATTTTTCTTTCCTTTCGAACGTTAGGCCTATATTTTTTAATTTAAATCCATGTGTGTTGCCCCTGAGCTGTTGGACATAATGTAAGACTAAATTACTTACGTAATTCCCGTCACAGCTCAATAAAATATGTCTATTCAGGACATGTTTCGGTGTTTGTTTAGAGTCTGTCCCTTGCTACCTGTGCGGTCGGTTATCTTTGTTAGAACAGGCCTGTTTTTTAAATGTTTAATTGTTTTATGTATTTATTCGTGTCCGTACTGTGTTTATCTTCTGACGATGTTAACAACTGATCAACTCTATGTACCTGAAGCTGACGATGGTGTTTTAACACCGAAACATGTCCTGAATAGACATATTTTATTGAGCTGTGATGGGAATTACGTAAGTAATTTAGTCTTACACTATAGTTTTCACCTACCTTCTTGGTTGATTTTTAAAATTCTCTGGATTTATCAATCTAAAAATTGTCATTACGGCTGTTTGCCATCAGAACAAAGTATTGTAGTCGCCAACGACTTTAGCATAATGTAGGTTTAGGTTTAGGAGCCGAGAGTAGGTTTAGAGAGCCTAAGCCAGTAGGCCTTGTCAAAATATTTTCTTCTGTTGAAGTTTCACCATGGTCGGAAATTGGACTTATAGGCCTAGGCCTACTTTGGTTCATGGATGTGGTTGATAGGTTACTTTTGATAATCTTGTAATCATTTAAGACTAAATCCAGTTTACGTAGCTGTCCGACAATGGCTAAGTTGTCCGTCGCTAGAACTTGTACAATATTCAACCGTTTGTTTAACAGGCTACTCCATTTAAGAATTGTCATCGTTTACTTCACTGTGTGTGCGTCTGTTTGCACAAGTTTCACAAGACTATCTTACCGGGTTTGATAACTTTTTATTCATTTCTCTTTCACTAGTATTTTAGCACATTTAACATGGTATTTTACTTTACAATAACCTTCTCACACCAAAGATTTGTCAGATGTAACAACAAATTCATTGCAGCAACCACAACGAATGTCTATATCTGCCGCCATCTTGCTCAATTCCTCTCTAAGGATCATTCCATAGTAGTTTAGATTAACTGTTGGCAATCAACATTTGATGAGACCCTCAAATGTTGTTGATTATCGAGGAAACCTAGCAATGGTCCAAAACACCGGGTCATTTGGAATTTTTAGAAGCCAACCTCCTTTTTTGACACAAGTCATAATCCAGTGCGCTCGACTCCCTCCGGTATGACCACATACTTTAACATTCTAGGTTTAGGTGCAAATCAATCATGTCGTTAAACAGATAGCCGAACACCAATACCTGCTTGTTTCGTTTTCAGGTGACCGAGAACACAAGACACTAGTACGTAAATTCAAATGAAACATGGGCATAGGGTTAAAAGATCTTTGAAGGGTGGTGGGGCGCGGGGAAGGCAGATTTTGACCATCGGTGCAACCGGGTGTCAGCCTTAATAACTTACATTACATGAATAAACGAGTGAACCTAATAGGTTTTCTATGTTGGGGGGGGGGGTTGAAATTCCGGGACATACAAGTTGGTTTGCTAGCCTGGAAGTCAATTTCCAGGTCGTAAATTTGAGCTGAGAAAACCTTCAAGCTGAATCATTTTTACTTTTAACACTGTGGTTCATGGGGATTTCTAAATAGTTAATCAAGGTTCAAGCTATTGAGGCCCTACTATACTTAGTTGGTTTGAGCCACCGACAGAATGCATGGATGTAAATTACTGATTTATGTCCAACATGCCTACTTCTTAACCGAGTCAAACTGATAGTATCACATCAACTATATCAGTAACAAAAATTAAGGGAGACATCAACTATATCAGTAACAAAAATTAAGGGAGGGGCTAACAGTAGCACACTCTGTAAGTGACTCAGTCAACGATGTCCTTTTTGAATGAAAAAAGGCTACAGCTGGTCCTTATAATTATTTACTGTATTTTAGTATCCCGAATTTGATACTAAAACGCTGTTTGAACCTCTCAGGTTCCATAGCAAATATATGTTGTTGGTTGATGTTTGATTCACATTAATAAATTAGTCAAAAATATAGATATTATAAATTGGAATAGAATATCTGCATTTATGCAATCCAATGCGTCGCAGATGCACACACTGGATCGCATAAATGCATGTATTCTACCCCAATTTATAGTATTTAAATGCGATTAGGAGCCTAAATTCAAAACAATGAATAGGGATATGTTTCATTAGTTTAAGCATAGACAAAAATAATTAAACATAGACCGTCAGCTGTGCTGCGGTTACCATAGGTTCTGGCGCACACCGCTTGGAGCGACATGTAGTTACGGCATACACGCTATGTAAACTACAGCGGTGTGCGCCACAACCTATGGTAACCATGGTAACCGCAGCACGGCTGACAGTCTATATTCAATTCTTTTTGTCTATGATTTAAGGTAGGTAGTAAAAGTTTTGCATTATTAGCAACTTTCCAATTTCCCATTTAGGAAACAAGCTATTACCGCAGTAGGCCTAATGGTAAGGGCTGGCGCGCACAAGCCCGACCACGACAACGACTCCTACCGGTCAAATAAGGCCAGTTTTAAAATATGCGTATATGGAACAGCGCACACTGGTCGACTGGTCGGATCCTGGTCGCGCGACCAAAGTCCATGCAGTTTGGTCGGGCCCGACTCGCTAGCTGTTGCAGCCAAAAATATAACACATTGTAATGGGACGACGCGCACTACCCCTGACTTGTCTCCGACCCGACCAGTACATAACTCAACCCAAAGTATTCCTAGATCAATATAATGGTAAGTACTTGTTTTTTGTGTGGTTTGAGAAGTGACTTCTTTTGTAAAATGTGCCAGGATTTTGACACTGAGTGTTTTATTATGAATGTTTATGGGATATATCAGCAGATTATGGCTTCAGAGGGATGAAGAAGGAAGCTTTGTAGGAGATCACGCTGATGTTTCGTGGATGTGAGAACGTTACTCATTCAGCTACTCCTTCAACATCCATCTTGACACTGAAGTTTGGTAAACATTTTGTTGCCTTGGTCGGGTCTTGCTCTGGTCGCATGGTGAACGACAACAACCTTTCGGGTTTGTGGTTGTGATCGGGCTAGTGCCCGCCAGCCCTTTTTGAGATCCAGAGGCCAAAAACACCGTTGAAATTCATATATATGTAATTAAGTTTTTGATTTCAAACGTGGAAATCCTTTTATAAACAGCACGTCTCATTTAAATATACTTCTCTAAAAACATTAATTGTTTGCAGGATTTGAAGACGAAGCAAACCAGTGGAGGTGAAACGGTACAACTCCCTCCATTGTTTATGTGTCATGGTGAACGTGATGATCTGGTCAAGATGGAGTGGGTTGAGGAAACGTTCAACACACTTACAAATCTCGGAGTCACTGCAGAATTCCACCGCTTTCCAAACATGCTGCACGAACTGAAGAAAAAGGAGTTGGAAATGTTATACGGCTGGATAAAAAATAGGGTAAAATATGAAGGGATTTGATTATGGACTTGAGTTTCAATTCATAGTACTGTAACATTCCCAGTCTTCTATTTTTAGTCACTGGCACTTTGATCCTTCTATGTGTGTCTTAATATGACAAGAAGTGGATGTCCAACAATAGGTTTTGTAATTTGGCTTGTCTTTACGTACTTGATGGTTACCATTCAATAAGTATACTAAGCCCGCACAAACCCACAAGAAATCGGTTTTCTGAGGTCTTCTGAGTGTCATGGGTACACTATTTTACCTGAGGTTTCTGTCCTGTTTCACTAATCACTATATTTATGACTTCTTCCATGGTATTGGAACAATAATACCAGAGATAAGTATCAAATGAGAACCCAAAGCATTAAGAAACCCAAAGAACTAATTTGATTCAAAACATTTTGATAGCACTTTAAATCAGAAAGTGAGAGGAGGGGGATTATGCCTTATAACCTGAACAATCACTATAATCGACTACTACTATAATGTGGACCATTAAAATGTACACAATGAACTACTATGTTTATTTTTTTTTCCTACAGTTACCTAACAATGTACATGTTCTCTCACTGATTTGAGAAAGCAAAGTGGTCAATTTGTTCATCAGTGAGACAATGTTAACTTTGTCTCACTCTAATTACTTTGTCTCACTCCAGATTTGCAACGTGAAGGCACGAAATAGTGAGCGCGTAACATGCAGGCAACGTCGTATGCGCGCGAAATACGTTGGCAGCACTGGCTGTAAATCAGCTGGTCAGCTGTTGTACTGTTGTATTTGTCACTTTACATTAAATGTTATGTTAAAAGTTCACTTCTGTGTAAAAATAGGTTATGTTTCTTCACCAATTTATTTGTTTTATGGTAACTGTAGGAAAAGTATAATGTGCAACTCGAGTTCAAAGTACAATTGCCTCACTCGAGAAACCATTCCTCACTCGCCTACGGCTCGTGATTAAGGATATCTCTCGAGTGAGTCAATTGCTCACTTTTCTCACTAGTTGCACAAATAACTAATTTTATATCAGTCTTTGACTTTTTATATCTTAGATAACTTTCATTTTTATATTCAGTGTCTTGATGCTGTAAAAAGCCTAGATATTTTATTTAGCCAGATTCAGGTAGAGTATTTTGTATTGTGTAATAGTTCTATAGTTGTGAAAAAACTCAGGCAAGAAGAAGACTTACAGTACTGCATGTAGGTCAATCTAATTACATTATTTTTTTATATGCTGTATATCAACTTGGTAGAGAAATATATTTTTATTCTCCTCTAACTGGTAACAGTTAAGTTTTGCTGTTAATTATGGTACTGAATCCAATCAAAATTGTTGTTGATTTTGTACTATTCTTGTTAACTAATGTATTATTAAAAAAATTATATTTATTAATAAATAATTTGTTTTAAAAACTGTATAATTTCTTCAAGCCCAACATTTAGTGTGTCACTTTCTTTTAGTCAAGTTTTACCAGAGACAAATAAGTTCACGTCTAATATTATATTACCTTCTATGTCAGTATAGTTTTGTGACTGCCAGATGCAACGTTAACAATGCTCAGATGGAACAGTTTCTCTTAGAATCATTATAAGAAACGGAGAAAACGTTCTACATACCAATACAAATAATAATAAAAATCACTCAAGAGATACTTACAAAAGTGACTGCCTTTGGAGTTATCTCCCTAGTTCAGAGGTCAATAAGGTAAGAGTAAATATTTGTGGATTAAGTATAGAGGTGTAATAAATCCATATATGCCATAGAAAAACATTGTTATTACATATATACATTTACCATTGATTACAGAGACACAAATATTTCAATGCTCGTCTTTCACTTCTGAAGTATCATGTTTATCCCAGTCCTTGAGTTTTGAGCTCATCATAAAGTCATCCCTTAGAATCGTCCAAGTTGGATTATCTGCATCCTAGGAGGAAGAATGTTGGCTATAGTTGACTTTGAAGCAAATTAGTAAAATTACATTTAGATTTAATAGTATACTTATAAACTATATTAGCGCTGTCCAACAATTTACCTGTCAACTAGCTTTTCACCTCTCTGTGGCATACAATTTTTATTGAACCTATTTCTAGAACGTGATTAAAAATTCTTAAAGGCTTATCCTACACAGTGGACCCCCTCTTAACCGACCTCCCATTAACCGATAGTCGAATTATCTGCCCTCGCTTGTCAAATATTAACAGTTTGTTTTAACCGGCCTAGTTTTAAGAGCAGTTCGATTTAACCACCGCTTTCTAGGAATCTCAGCATTTCTGCGGTGATAAGAAAAATATATAAAACTCTACAGGATGTTTCAGGATATAAATAAACATCCTGTCTCGTAACGAAATTGTTGATTCTATCTTAATTTCGACAATAAGTTATGTACAACTGTATTAGGATGGATTTGGAAAGCATCAATTAATATTACTAAACATATTAAAATAAACATTTTTATTGACTCTTACCTACAACTATAATTTATTCCACTGAAAGTATTTGACTTTAACGTAATTTGGGTTTGTTTATGATGGTCAATACTTAAGATAAAAATATGTATCATATGTTTAGTTAGTTATTATTTAGTTTATTATGAAAATAATGCACACACCACTTCAGAATTATGATTTAATTCAAAATGAATAGCACTTAATTTTTTAGTTTTTCGGGATTGGCCGTTTTAACCGACCCTTTGAGTTATGCGAACTAAGTCCAATCCCGTTAAAGAGGGGTCAACTGCACTATGATACGAGTAATGTTTGCCCGAAAAACTATTCCAAAAGCGGCTCCTATTTCTTCTAAATTGTTAGAAATATCTTAGTTTGAGGCTAAAACAATACCTATAATAGTCTCTGTTATGAGAAAATTAGTTTTTCCCATTTTTGTTGTTGTTAAATTTAAATTAAATTTTAATATTATGAACATTGGCCTTATGAGTTGCCAAGTAGCCACAACTGTATACAAATTAACAAGGAAAATGTAAATAAAAGACTATAAATAACATATGTTCATAACCATAAACAGTATACTAGCAAATCACAAAAAAAACAGTAATAAAGAAAAGTTCATTCCGATGAATACCATTGAGCAATGATTATACAAGCAGTGGGATAAATACAAAGTCTTTTTACTGCAACACATTACACTAATATTGAACTAAGAGTCTTATGGAAAAGTCATGGCTGTTGTATAGTGGTTAGACTTTAACATAAATTCTTTATTTAAGTCATATGTTTTCTAATTATTAAAATGTTAGTGTTTACTTTCAAAAATGTAAATACAATATGAGTTGAGTGAGTAAATCAATGTGAAAACCAAGTCCACTTTTTCTGAGTTATTATCTATAATTTCTTTATGGTTCTTCTACGCCACGCGATATGATCCAGCAAAGAGTAACAACATTATTGAAACAGAGGAGTACAGTGAAATCATCTCTCACCAGAATCAAAACCTACCTAGAAAATGTGAGTAATACCAATACAGATAGGGCAAACCTGATTGTAAGGCAAGAAAAACTAGATGAACTATTTGATCGGTATCTTCAAATTCATGAAGAAATTAGCAGTATAGATGAGGAACAAGCTAATGATGACATTTTAGGAGCTTTCGAGAATGATTATTTTGCAACTAAAGCTAAATTATTAAATTTACTGGGTGAATATCAAACTAATGTCCCTAATCTAGTTCCCGTTCATTCGATTAATTCTATTCAACAAAGTGTTTCAGTTGACCCTATTCCTCAAGTAAAATTACCTAATTTGCATCTACCATCATTTAATGGGAATATTGAGGAATGGCCTTCATTCAGAGAGCTATTTATATCTATTGTCCATGACAACCAGTCGCTTCCAAACATCCAAAAGCTATTTTATCTCAAATCTTGTCTAAAAGGGAAGGCACACCAACTATTGCAGTCACTTCCGTCTACAGATCAAAACTATTTTGAGGCCTGGGACATTTTAAAGCTCAGGTATGACAACAAAAGGCTGATTGTAAATTCTCACCTAAAAGGATTATTCAGTCAAGTACCTTTACAAAATGAGTCCTCACAAGGACTTAGAAAACTAGTTGATGAATCTGAAACCCATATTAGGGCTCTAAAGTCGTTAGGTGAAAATGTAGGTGAATGGAATAGCATACTTGTGTACATACTAACTAGCAAATTAGATAGTGAGACGAGAAAACAATGGGAATGTCCTTAACTACACAGGATAGTCCTAATTTTGAGCAGCTAAAATCGTTTCTTATCCAAAGAATTAATGCCTTGGCATCCTCAAGCATATCTAAGACATCTGCATCCAACATTAGTCATTCTAATAATAGAGGTATTCAAAGTAAAGGGTCATTTAACCAAGCAAAGGGAAAGTCTTATTTTACTCATGTTTGTGTAATCTGTGAAAAACCTAATCATGCAATTTATCAGTGTGACGAATTTAGTAGCATGAGTGAAATTGTGAGTAAATTATGTTTTAATTGTTTAAAACTCAACCATTCTGCTACTGATTGCAAGAGTTCTACTTGCAAACTGTGTAACTGAAACCATCACACAATGATTCATATTGAATTGAAAAAGGAAATTGGCAAAACATGTGACAAGAATAAAGTAACATCTAACTCTGCTAGTCATAATGCGTCTGAACAAGAATTTGCATCTAATTCTGTTGATCTAAGTAATGCAGAGGACCCAATGTCATCATCACAAGTTTTGCTGTCGACTGCTAAAAGGAGAACGTGTAAGAGTGCGTGCACTACTTGATTCAGGTGCACAATCTAACTTTATAACTAAGTCATGCGCTGATCGATTTGGCTTAAAATTTTTAAACTCTTCAATAACTATTAATGGTATAGGACAATCGAAAACAAAAGCATCAAAACGAGTATCATTAAATCTTTTTTCAAGAGTTAGCAAGTATTTTACCAACATTTCAACAGTAGTTTTGCCAACCATCTCCACTAAACTACCTGCTGAGACTATTAACCACACCAACTGGTCTCATCACATCTCTACACTTGTCCTGGCAGACCCGGAGTACTACAAACCAGGTGAAGTCGATCTGCTATTGGGAGCAGAAGTTTACTTCGGCCTTATCATTGAAGGAAAGATATCAGGTACCAAACAAACACCTACTCTTCACAATAGTGTTTTGGGCTGGATTGTTTGCTGGCAGGTGTGAACAGTGTGTGTTGTTATTCATATGTGTTTGAGAACATATGGTATTAGAATATTATTTGTTTAGTTGTTGTTGGTAAACATTCTGAATCTTGATTGATTGTAAAAGCTACCTAATAAAGTATTTGTCTTATTAAAACTATATTTTAACTTAACTTACGATAACACTACATGGTGGCAGCGGGTTTTTTTATTGTTTTAGCAATACAGTACATAAAGATGAAAGGTTTTAGTGTTCCTTCCCCAGAACATTTTGATTTTAAAGGAGAAAACTGGTCTAAATGGAAAACCCGTTTCTTGCGCATGAATGAAGACGAACCATATCAGGTAAACACCTTACTATATATGATGGGCGAAAAGGCCGAAAGCATATTTGAATCATTTAATTTGACATCTGAGGAAAGTAAAAGTTTCAAAACTGTTTTAAAAAAATTTGATACATATTTCGCTCCTTCTAAAAATGTAATCTTTGAGAGGTACATGTTTCATACTAGGGTTCAACATGAGGAAGAGCGTGTTGAGAGTTTGATTCATGATCTAAATGAGATGGCTTCTAGATGCGATTTTCCTGCTTCTTATAAAGATGAGGCTATACGAGATCAACTTGTTGTAGCGATTAGAGACAAAAGTTTATCTGAAAAACTACAAATGAATGCAGATCTAACACTCAATTCTGCTGTCTCAAATGTTAAGCAAGCCGAATCGGTTAAAATTCAACAATCATTGATGAGGTCCAGGTCTTCTAAACATGCACTAACTGCAGATAAAGTCACTTCAAGGACTTGGGGCACTAAATTTGCTCAGAAACCTCCAGTTGATTCCAATGCGTCCAGTACCAATTACTACAATCAATGCCAGTGGTGTGGTAACGCTCAACATGAACGACCAAAATGTCCTGCCCGGAATATTTTCTGTCGAAACTGTAACAGGAAGGGCCATTTTGCTAAATGTTGCCAGTTCAAAAATGTCAAGGAAATAAATTCAAATCCTCTTCAAGATGAAGTTATTAAGAGTGACAAGTTTGTGGGGTCTATTAATCCTCAAAAGAATCCTAAAGCAAAATGGTCTGCTGAAGTTAAACTAAATGGAGTATGTATTCAAGCTAAGATAGACACTGGAGCTGACGTTTGTGTCTTGCCCCAATCACTTTATAAGTTGAAATTATTTATGTACCCACTAAATTCAAGTAACAAAGTTTTAATTGGGCCTAACGGATCTGTCCTTAATATTTTGGGCGTATTCGAGGGTACAATCCAATACAAGGATCAATATTGTAAGTCTCAGTTTTATGTAATATCTGGTGCTGATAGAACCCTTTTGAGCAATGAAGTTAGTGAAAAATTGGGTCTAGTTAAAAGGATGTTTCGAGTCAACTCAACTGGCTCATTTGATCCCTATACATCATATCCTAAACTTTTCAGCGGTCTTGGTAATACACAAGCTCATTATAATATAAAATTAAAGCCAAACGCTGAACCGTACTCTCTCAAAGTTCCAAGGCGTGTTCCCCTAACCTATAAAGATGCTGTAAAAAGAGAACTGGATGCAATGTTGGATAAAGGTGTTATCGTGAAAGTAGACACTCCGACTGACTGGTGTTCACCTCTTGTCATTGTCCCTAAAAAGGACAATTCAATAAGACTTTGCGTAGATTTTACTAAACTTAATGAGAGTGTTAAACGAGAACTATATCCTGTGCCCTCTGTAGACTACACTCTGGGACAATTAGATGGTGCTAAGGTGTTCTCGAAACTAGA